TTTCCCCCCTTTTATGGCTTTTTTTCTGGTTTTGTCTGTTCATCTGTCATTTTGTCAGAGGAAAACAGCACACGAATATCAATGTTGAGACAAACTTTTTTTTTTTTAAAATTACAATCATTCAGAAAAGATTTTTAAAATTGTTTTAAATGGCACTTGAAGTTTGTGATTTTTTTTTTCCAACTTCTTTGTATCAGCAAGGTTTGCTATTGTTGAGCTTGAGCTAAACAGTTGTTATTTCCGCTCTGCTGTTAACCTTTTTAAGGTGTTTATGGCCTAATGAACAGGAAAGTAATTGTGTAGCATGCTGATCATCACTTCTCATTTAGAGGAGGTCTAAAACTGTGAAGCAATGCAACTTGAGTGCCTCCACAAGCTTTAAAATTATTTTCATGCCAAATGAGATTATACAAACTTTAGTGAAGTGTTACATATACTAGTTATAGTTTGTCTAGTGTAGCATAAATCTACTATTCTCATCTTTCAAACTCAGCTAGAAGTATTATCTGGTTGTCTGTAAGAATCACACTCAGAGGTGGGCCCTCTAACCCATTCAGTGAGAAAAAATATTCTCTGATCAGACTGAATCATAGTTCTTGCGGCAGTCAGAAGATGAATATAAACTTTACTTCAGCTTTCAGCACAGATATTTTGCGTTTTCATTGTCTGTTGTTGATCTTCTCCCAAATCATACTGGGGACAAAGGGGGGGAAACTTGCTTATGAAGAGATAATAAAAATTACTTCTGGAGAGATCATGCTGGTATTTTGAATTTCACAGTTTAATTTTGCAAATTGTTTGATCGATACAGTCAGTTGACTTTATTTACACAAACAGGCACACACACCTTCCTTCCCAGCTGCTCCAATATTTCATTTAACCAAGTCCCCTCTCAGAAATTTCAAAGGATACTTCTTCAGGTGCTTGACTGCCTTGCCTTGTCTATTTGCTCTTATTTTGCATGCAAGATAGAGCCAGAAGCCTTTTTTCTCATTGTGTACAGATAGTGTTAATGGATCTGCTCTGCCTGTATTGCCTCATTACTGGAAACAGCTCAAAACACAGAAGTCTTTCAGTGTATGCAAATAAGGCAGAATCATCTACCTGAGAGTTAATATTCTCTACTTTTAAGTGTATTCTAAATCTAATGTTTGTATTTAGAGCATAACATCCTGTTCTCTTTTTTATAGGCAAAAAGCTAAGCAGGCTCAGGCAGCTGTTTGATGTTGGCTTCAAGTGTTATTAATTTCATATTCTATTATTCTTTTCACTGTAGCACAAGTGAAGCTGATGTGGAGGCTGTCATGGATAAGTTGTTTGATGAGCTGGCTCAGAAACAAAATGATTGTACGTAAGTTAATTTCTCTTGAAAGAGAATACATTTAGAACACAATGCCCAATCTCCACTGACCAATTAATAAGTTCCATTGCTGTATATGGGTTGATGCCACACTCAAGTGGCAGTCATTGTATCAGCATTTTGTCTAATTTATGTGTTGAATCATGTGCTATTATTCATCAAGCTATGCATTTCCTATCTGTAAGAGATGAATTTTATAGTAATTATCCAGAGAAGATTGAGTCTTTGTTCATGTTCCCATAGTAACTAGACCAAGGATTCTAAAAGTGCAAGGCAGAGAGCTGAGGCTGAATAAAGCGTGTGGAACCATTGCAGACTTCACTTTTGAAGAGCTGTGTGACAGAGTGAGTACCTTGTCAAATCTAAATCAGTTAACACTCAGACTTTTCACAGTTTAAAAAAAAAAAGCAAAACCAACCAAACAAAAAACCCACAGAAACAGAAACCCAAAACAAATCTAAACCACAAGAACTCGCTACTTTACCATCTTACTAAATTAAAAGGTTTTTTTTTTTAAACTTGGCAGAAATATTTTTAATAGGGAAAAAAACCTCACCCCCCAAAAGAACGTTAATGATTTTCTTTTTAATGATACGGTAAATTCACTCGTCAGTATATCACAGACTGTCTTCAAAAATCCTAGTGTAATGCATGCCTGGGCTAACGTCATTGCTAGAATATTAGTAGTCATATCAATATGTAAATGGCATTCAATTTCTGTTTTTAAAATTTGGGTTTTAAGTTGCTATTCAAGCAAAGGACTAGTAATCCTGGCACCACTAAAGTGAAGCTGTTGTTGCATGCCTTAGTTATGGCTAGCTGTACAGGGGCTTTTAAGTCCCAGGCCTTCTCAAATTTTGCGGGATTGTGCTAAATACTGACAAATTCTCTGCTGAACAAGCAGGGTGTGATGTCTGAAAAGCTCTCTTTGTGATGCCCAGTGGGTTTGACGACAGTCCCCCAGCAGTTGCACTCTACTTCAGTGACTTCTCTGCTAACACCTGAAGTTACTGTGAAGTGGCTGCAACTCTAAACGGGACTGGCAGCACCTTTGATTCTGGATGCTGACCGGGCCTTTGGTTATGACATTGTTTGCACTTTCTTTAGCTACCGAGTAGCCAACTGTCTGGACAGAAATTTCACTGGTTATGTTTCCTACTGTAAGTTTTAGGCTTTGTTGGTTTCTTGTTTCAGATAAAACCAGTTAGTGATTTGTGAGAATGGAGGTGTGTCATGGATGGAACAGCTTGCTTTTCACTAAAAGTTTTGAGATACTGTCTTCGTTGTGCCTCTTAACATATCAGGAAACTGTGCTGTCAGCAACTTGTACAAATTCTTTAGTCTGGTAAATGCCTTATGTACTTAAATGTGATGATAAATTGTTCCTAAGGAGAAGTGTTCTGGTAGCTCACATAACAGCACCCACTACGTTGGGTCTGAAGGTTCTGATACTGTTGAAGAATTACGTGGGGTTCAGACCATCTTGATGTAATGGAGCTGAGCTGCTTGGTTTGTGCTCAGAACAAATAAAGAGAATCCTTAGGAAATGGTAAACCTTGTTTAACAGCATTGTTCTTGCGTTGGTCACCCAGGACTTGGGGAGTCATGCTGTCTCAGTTCAGATACCTTCTGCAGATAGTAGTCTCGAATGGAATAGTCACATGCTTACAACTAAAACAACACAGCAGACAATAAATATTTTTCTTTAACAACCTTTTTCCTTTCCGTTATGTTTCCACTGTTTTCTACCTTTAGTTGTTATAAACAATTATTTATCTTGTCATGATTTTTCTCTCTGGATCGCTGGTGTACCTCCATAAATACAACATTAGTGTGTTGGTGAGGTGGTGTCACTCTGCTCACTTCATAGGTAGAGAGGTATAGTTGTCAGCTTTTGAACTGTCCATTAAATTTGATGAAGGGTTTGAGTTGCCTCTAATATGATTTTTTTCACAAATGCAAAACTTTTATAGGCCTTCATAGCAATAGTAAAAAATGGCTATCTGTATAAGCTGCATTTGTCAAACATTAAAACCATGTTCCTTTTTTTTTTTTTTTTTATGAAATCTTCAAACTTTTTGATGGACAAATATATACATGCAGCATAACAGACAGAGTGAGAATTCATTCCCACAGATGCCACAGAAGAAATAGATAAGATCCAGAAGAGTGCATGGGTGTTTTGTAGGTTAAAAAAAAGCACACCACAAAGTTAGGAGACATTCAACATGCCAGGATGTATAAAGTAATTTGTATGTAGTCAAGTAAACTGGCTAATAGTGGGAACTAGTTGTGAAGGAATAAAGCAGAAATCTGTAGGGGACATACCTACAAGGTATTTGGTATGGCTTGTGGTGCCAAATAGTAGGTAAGCTGACATGCTTCACAAGTGCAACTGTTAAGAAGAAGGAAACTAGGAGGCTGGGAAAGATATAGTGGAAAGAAGGATCCACAAAAGAAAATACTGGAGGGTGGATTGTGCTGGAGGGAATCTGCAGGTTTCTGTGCAGGACATGGGGGGAAAAAGTCCTGTGGGAAGGCAGATTGTGTGAAAGGCCATGGGGTGGGGAACCTTCCTAGCTGGAGCCTGTAGCAACCAGGAAGGGGGTTAACTGACAGCCCAAGCAAAGCATCCTACGTAGATAAATGCAATCTAAAGTTCTGTCATAGGAGCCAGTTAAACTTGTAACAGAATTGAAAGCAAGGTTTGCAGTTGGTTTTATATCAGTGGTGAGACATGGTGACAAGCAGGATAAATGGGAAATTCTCATCAATGGGGAAAAATTAGATATAATTTATGTTATTGAAACCTTGTGGGACAGTTCATAAAATAAGACTGGAATCAGTGCTTGCAGCCTACTTAAAGAGAGTGTCTAAAAGAAGTGGAGGACAGTATGCAATCTTAAAGACATTGGTACCTGCCTTAAAGTCAATTAGTACAAGGACCTTGAATACATACCAATCAGCCTACTAATTAACAAACCCAAGAAGGTAGTACTTGTAGGGGTCTGTTGCAAATGGAGAATGAGGTGCATTGCTTCTTGAGCACTTGGCTATAAAAAGCATGTGAAGAAAAAATACCCTTGTATGGGAAACTTGTGGTGTAGATGAAATGCAGAAAATGGTAAAATGTAATTAGCCTGAAAATTGCAAATGATAATTTTCTAGGATAAAATGTACTACATCCAGTACAAGGTCATTTGGTTTGAGCAGCTTTATGTGGGAGCTTACAGTAATGAATTAATCTAGAAATTTGTGTTACACAGGGACAATCTTCTCTATGATTTTCTAACATTCATTGTAACCAAAAGTTATTTCCAAACAGTGATATTATATATTCAAGTGTTCAGGAAGAGTAATTTTCTAAAGCAAAAGGGAAGTATGACCAAAACTAACTGGAAAGGGAAGTATAAATGGTAACAACAAAAAAGAACAAGGAGTTTTTGGGGAAGAAGATAGTAAAAGTATGTCCTGTGTCACTGTCGAGACATGGAGGGCAACTAGTTTTGAAATGCAGGAAAATTAAAGAGAAACTAAAGGTCATGGGTAAATATCATGCCTGCTCAGCTGTAAGACTTGTTAAACCATATCAAAAGTCTCATTTTGCTTGTGTTATCTGAATGTTATTGGTTTATTCTTAGTTGGAGATGAACTTTAAATAATAATGTGGAAAAAGGAAGAGTTTTTGCAAAACATACTTGTTCTAGGTGAAGCAGAGTGTTTCACTAAAGGATAATAAAATAACTTTCAGTCTGTTAATAACTAGCGTAAATTAAAAACAGCCTGCAAACACTTTTTGAATCATTTGAGTCTTTGAAAACTAGGATGAGATATCTGACTAGCTTTGTATTTTTGATAAATGTTGGAGTGTCAGAGAAATTTCGAGGCACTAGAGGAATGCCACATACTAATAATAATGTGCCAATATTAAAAAATAAACCATTAAAATCCACACAAGCATGATGACCAGTATAACTGCAGATGGCCAGTCAGATTTTAGTCCATAAAGGGTAATGGAGAAGCTATTTCTGAATTCATGCAGTAGATAACTAAAGAATGGAAATGAAATAAGTTTCAGTCTCACTGATTTTGTGGAAAAGGTTGAGTTTTGTAAATGCTAGTCTTTCTAAGAAATTGGCATTAAGTGTCAGCAAAGTATTTGTTAAATAGATTAATAAGGTAGTTAACATCTAAAAATAATTATTGCTGAAGGAATGTTGTTAAGTGTGCATTTCTAATGAGCATACCTTTATACTAAGCCCAGTACAATATTTTCTTTCCCCTGGCAGTTTTGACTATAACATAAATGCTAATACAGGTCTGCTGTAAATACAAAGAGCTCTGTGTGTATGGACGGGAGGAGCAGTGAAAATGAGGAGGCTGTGTGTGATTTATTTCTCAGCAGAACTGAGATTTGGGGAAGGAGAGGAGAGGGTTTGTTTCATTTTGGCGTTTTTGAATCTAATGAAACATAAAATCTTACACTAGAAATTGGGAACAGAAGTCATACCCACAGGAGGAGGAGACTGTCCTAGGTGTAGTGACTTGGAAATAGATTTAAGCACTGTAATGGACAAACGGCTCAAAAGGAGCTTCTCATCCAGTGTGAGAACATTTAGACATAATTTCATCTGGGATGGGTAGAGTGGAAGTAGGAGGGTAGAGAAATCATTTTAATTTTGAAAACATCTCAGATTGATGGCAGGTGTGGTTTTGACATGAGAATTTTAGAAAAGACATTGAAAAAACTGAGAAGGCTGTTTGAAAGAGTGACAAATCATTTGAGCTGGAGAATTTGTGCTCACAGATAAGACTTACAGTTCAATTTGTCTGGCTGACTGAAGAGAGGATGGGAAGATTAATTTAGCATGGACAGCTATTTTCACAGGGAAAAAAAAAAAACAAAAACAAAACCACCAGCATATATTAATGGGCTCCTAAATCTAGCAGCAGGCATAATGAAAACCAGAGCCTAAAGAGGGATTCAGATTTAAAGAAAAAAAAAAAAAAAAAAAAAAAAAAAGAGGAAGAAAAAGCACCCATTCACACATCTGAAACAGTGAAGAAAGTAGCAGAGCCTCCTTGTACTGTGCTTTGGGTCAAAACTGGGTGTCATGTTAGGAAGAGGTGTTTGTGTTTGAGCTAAGTACTACTTAGGCTTAGCTGTTTCTAAAATTCAGGGAATCAGAGGATCCCAAGATCTCTTCTGGTCTTAAATTGTCTGAAACTAGGGACATTAGAGAGCTGGGGTCCCTGCTGCCATCTGCCTTGCTGCACCTGCACACACAGTGAACAAGTTCAGCAGCCAGAAGGGGAACGTACTCAGACCATCTTGAGGGGTTAA